AGGTGGTGCTAGTTGAAAGATTGAATGAAGAGGCTTGGGCTTCAGTCTATGTCATATTGGGCATTCTAATATTCTATTTTTGAGCTATGCTTTTCTTGGTCTCTTTTCGTTTTTTCTATAGTACTGATTACTGTCGTGCATAGTTCGAGTTTTAAAGTTGTGCAAACATAAAATATACAGTGTTTTTAATTTTTTTCGTGGTATTGTTTGATGAAAATAAGTACTTGTAATACAGATGGGTTTTTTGTCTGCTGGAGGATTCTATTCCAAGGTGCGTGCGCGCTATATAAGCGAAAAATTGAGATTTACCAGATGCATGGTGTTCTTTGTCCTAAAAAAAGCATTGAGCATTGTGGTCATGAAACATATGTGATCATACATTAATGGAAGACCAAAAGTATTATTTTCAAAGCCCAAAAGTTACGAAAGTAACAACTTACTAATCGGAAAAAGATTAAACCAATAACAATGGTAAAAAATAATCTTTCAGGTCAGTGATAGTCTGTGAACGTTAAATTGAATTTTCTCATCTTTTCCATGGATAGTTTTCTAAAATAAGACTATTATTGCAGTTCACACAAGATAATAATAATAATAATAACAATAAATCTCAAGTCACCTGATAACAAAGAAAAAATGGATCACATTATCAGAATTTATTAATGGAAGACCTCAATTTTTTCATGATTGGTATTTAAAATAAAATTAAAAAAAAATCAGATCTAGAATCATAACAGAATTAGATCAGAAAGAGAAGGGAAAGTGCTGTTGTAGGTGAAAGATTAAATTAAAGGATACTGACTGTAAAGTGTAAACAACTAATTAAGCATATGAGTTTTTGCTGATCGTCACAAAAAACAGAACTTTAATCTTGACTTGCCTGTAAGAATATGAATTTGTCAAAAGAATGAGATTACACAAAACTACAAAAGATCAGTAAAATTTTATAAAACATATCAAATTGTTAAGTAGTAATTACAAAACACTTTTATAAAACATAGGAGTGTGGATTTATAACAAGAAATTCGAGATTCAAAATCTCACTTTCACACCTTCTTGTGGTCACCACAAAATTTATATATATATATATATATATATATATATATATATATATATATATATATATATATATTATTCCAAGAATATAAAAGATTTGAAATTTTCAGTTTTAACGTTAAATTGCACCCATTGAAAATAATCATTTTCTATAGGTATAGGTACAAATTAGCGTTAAAATTGAAAATGATTGAAGGATGATCAATTTCTAAATTACCAAAAAAAAACTATTAAATTGTCAAATCAAATATTTATTAAAAAAATGTTATTGATTAATGATTATTCATTAAGCCATAAATTATTATTTTAATTTAAGACCAGTTTTATGTTTGTTATTCTTGTATGTAAATGGATTCATATGAATATAATTCTTTTGAGGAAAAGTATAAATCACTAATAAAGTTCAAAAAGTTGCCATATAATCCAATTTTAAAGGTTAATAACTGGGGCCCCTATTCCACAACGTTTCTACTTTCTAATTTGAAATGAAAAACGCTCTTATACAAAAGTAACTTTCTCAGCCCAAGGTGAAGAAAAAGTAGGCATCTAATTCTCTCTTAAGCTCTTTTGGTAGCAGAGAAATCAACTTATTTGTCCTTATCGCAAGATTAAAGACAAACATGACTTATTAGTAAGTAAATCTATCCCCTCTCTCAAAATGACACCTTCTCTTAAACAGCCGTCGTCGGCTGCTTTTAGCTGGCGAGAATCCATTTTTCTTTCTTTCTTTCTTTCTTTTTTTTTTTGGGATGAGATTCGTTTCGTCATTTTGTTTATTTTCTACTATCAGAGCTTTATCTTTTCAGGTCTGATTTATAAGCAAGAAGATTCTTTTTGAATGGAAGTTTTTGGTTTTTAAATTTGAAAAATTAGGTCTTTGAATAACCATTTTGAGATTTTATTTTGTTATTTAAAAGGACATAATATGAATCAACAAAAATTATGTTTTAAAAAAACCTTATTTAAAAATTTTTCTTTTTCTATTCATGAAAAGATCAGATGTTGTTTGAAAGAAAATGATACACTAAAATTGTGAAAGTTTTTTTCATCTTTTTTTTTAATGAATGTTAAGAGAATAATTTGTTTTGAATCAATTTAAATTAGCATCTTTCTAAAAAATACTTATCATTATCAATTTTTATTCTTTTTTTTTATTATTATTCAATGGAGAGGTAAACTTCCAAGAAAACTAGTATATATTATATAGTCTGGGAGTTATTACTCAGCAAATATTTTCTAGCAATAGATTAATACATTTTAAAAAAGCATGCATGAAAGTGATAAAAATTAATAATGAAAAAGAATATTTATGAGTGAGAAAGAAGCCAATCTGCAGTTCCATTGGCTTCTCCCTCAAGATTAAGATTAGCACTCCCTAGAGAGACGTGCTGTCTTTAACTTTCAGGCAATATCTATCAATTCATGAATTATTTGGAAAGTCTGGAGTTTGAAGAAGCATCATTTAAATGCAAGTCATGTTTGTGTTCTACTCCTTCCTAACTCCTAAGACACAAAGGATCCGTGTGGAAAAAATTATAGTTGTTATTATTACTATTTTGTGACTGTTGCTGTTATTTCAATTGCTATGGTTATAAAAAAAATGTTTAGTAATATATATTGTTAAAATATTTTTATTTATATAAAATTTAATGCTACAATCAATAAATTATTGGTTCAGTTGTAAACAAGTTAGTCTCTAAATAAATTTTCTATAAATATACAAGAATTAAATTTTGTTATTATAGAATTAGTTGTATTTCTAATAATTGAAAGAAGATTAAAAAAAAAATTCAAAATTACAAAAACAAAAATGAATGGAAAACTCCATTCTCATCCTTTAGGTGTTACTTATTTCTTAATTTCATCCCAAATCAATTAATTTGTTATAATTTCATTCCATACATACAAGACAATATTCCCCTCAGTCGAAGAACTGTCTGTGTTTGGGTTAATGTGGTCATGTGGAGGGCCAATCAGATATTGTGCTGTTTCACTTTCTAAATCTTATCATACATGCACAGAAATGAATTGGCTGTGGATGAATAATAATGTAGCAAAAGGAATTCTGAATTAGATCCGGTGGTGCTATGCTATTCCATTCGTGAGATTTTGCTCCTCTTTTACGCTAACAGTTGGTCAGTATCCTATTTTGCATTTGCTAAACATGTCATAGATGGGCAACTATTTATTCCCTCAAAAATTAAATGTTCTCTGACATGGATTACAGACTTTTTTTAAAAAAAATAGTTAAATCGTGTTTTTGTTGTTGTACATGGAGAATAAGTTGTTTCAAGTAAACTAGTAGCATCCAAAGTAGTGCATCCGAAAAATTAAAAAAATAAAAAAATAAAAAATCCTTCAAATATATAAATTACATAGTTTGATATATATATGTAATCATTTCCCATTTTTTTACTTTGTTCTGCCCCTAGAATTCTCTACCTAAAACCTTCAACCTCATATAAAAACGGGTCACCTCGATCCTCCAAGCCATCCTTCTCCACCCTCCCCTCCCACTTTCGCAGAGCAAACAGGAGAAAATTTGAGGAAGAAGTTAAAATGACGCATAAGTTTCTTGCTTGGTCTTTCTTCATCTTATGTTGTCATGCCCTATTAACCATGGCTCCTCATCAAGTTACATCCAGGCCGCAACATGAAGATTTCGACCAGCCAAAACCTATTATGCAAAGACAAGTTCACGGTTGGAACTCCTTTCATTTATTTATTTATTTCATAGTAGTTCAAGTTAGCTGCTTTCCTCTTTTTGGTCAGGGGCACTATATTTCTAGCCTTGATACCTGCAGGTCTAAATGGCGAGGTTGGTTTGTATAGAGAAATTGAAAGAAGAGAATACAAGGGAAATCATGCAATTTTTCGCTCAATAAAAGGACAGAAAGGAAAGGGAGCTTATGGTGGTGCAAATATTGCCCATCGGCCTAAGCACGGGGGAAAAAGTGGTGCATTTTTGTCAGCAAAGGCTAGCTTCCTTGTCACAACCACCATGCTGTATGTGAGCTTGGCTTTGACTCTCGTATTTCCATTTCTATCACTCTAGATCTTAAATGGGCATATTTATGGATCCAAGATTATGACAGCTTTCTTTATTCATGGCCCCTCCTGTCCCATTTCTTAGGCAACTCCCAGTTACATTTTAGCTTCGAAAGCATCCTTGAAGTACATGACAATTTCTTGATTAATTATGGCCCTCATTCCCCATTTCTTTGGTTCCTGGTATTGGCTGTGTGGTTTGTCATAAAGCAGTAGGAGTGTTGATGGTTTGAGATTTTTTTTTTTTTTCCAATGTAGTATGATGACATTACTGTCCTCGAATTATTTTTCACCATGTTATTTGCACTAGATTTCATCCTCCTCCTTTCCTCCATGTGATGTTTGCATTCCATAAATTCAATTAGAGAAACAAAACAAACAGAAGAGGTCAATTGTTTTAGCGGTGGAGTGTATTAAGAACAGTCCTAGACCAAAAACCAATGCCAAACTCTAGCATGGGACAGAGGCAAAGGGTTCAAGAACCAAAGCTTTGGCAGATATGATCTTTAAATGCTAAACCAAAAGAGAGAAACATACAAATAGCATAGAGAGCTAATTAACCATCCACAGAAAGTAATGTCCAAATGTGGTTGCCACGACTATTAATGTATGAACTACCTAGTTTCCAATTGATGCCACAACATTAAACCATCTCACATGGTTGGATACAAATTTGTTTCTCAAAAGAGTCTTTATATGTGTACAACATAAGCCCTCATCAGGAGGGCATTATCCTTCGAAATAGTCTTGCTTACATCAAACCATGTGTGAAAATATACTATGAAAGATAGATGGTCATCAAGAGAAAAAAAAATTGGTATACCTGAATTTTCCCAGCCTGATTTTCTGAAAGGAGGACAGAAACCATGACAGGATGATAGCCTTGGCTCATTCAGTTAAATATCATAGATGAACTTCTCAAATAGTTTCATATGTTCAGCTTGCAAGGATATGGCTATTGACATGCTCCCATCATTTGTTGGGCTGGGTAAGATGAACGACAAGCCCTCGTATGCGATACCACCGGGCCCCATAAATATGGGCCTGCCCCAACCAAAGTCTGCATCATGGATTGGCAGTCTAACCCAGCTAGTAATCCCAAGATTTGGGCATCGGAAAGTGTGGGCACCACGAACAAGGGCTGATAAATCAGGCTGAAGCTCTAGGTAATCCAGGGCCGACCTTAAATAATCATTGTCCATGCGAGCCAACGCATCATGAATTTTCCCTGCAGCATACCATGTTGGCTTTGATTGCATTTCACCTGCTACTGCAATTGGTGTTGTTGTAAAGATCACATTGCCAAAGTAACCAGGTGGGAGTGGAGGGTGCAATCTTGACCGACCGTCTGTCGCAATATATAACTTGGTTTCTTGATCATCGGGAAGTCCGCGTGCCTTGCATGTTGATCTCCAAACATGACCCGCCAACATCTCGTATGAACTATAACTAATTTCGTTTCCATCTTCCTTTGCTTTGGCTTTGAGGGTGTTGAGCTGGGCCCTAGTCAACTTAAAAATGGAGACTGCCATGGTCTCTGGTTTTGAGGCTTCAAGAATGGTTTTCATGGCTGGTGGAGGCTGGTACTCAACATGGTGGAATGCAGGTTGAGGTGGGTCTCTGGCACGGAGGAGGGTCCTGTCAATGAAGGGTGGAATTGTAAGGTCAAGACCACGAGCCATATCTGACCATGTATTCACAAAGTGAAGACCAGAAAACCCATCAGCTGCATGGTGTTGCATACCAACTCCGAGTGAAACTCCTCCACATTTGAAATAGGTCACCTGCAGAAAATCAAACCAAAAACATGCTTATAGTGAGCTCATAATAGAGCACTAAATCAAATTGGAATTAAGTGATCGATGGATTTAGCTAACTAAATATCTGACTAAATGTAGGATATTTTTATTTCATGCAAAATTCTTTGTTCCAAAAAAGAAAAATGCAAGTTCATTAACAGCAAATGTCCAAGTGCTTTGAGGAGCTTGAAGAAGAATGTCATCTAGAAGTTGAGTTCTCTTACTAATTCTGATTGGTGTCAGTCTTATCGCTTGCCAAACAAAAAAACATCTGTCTTCTTCATTTCTTATGCTCCATTAGCGAATAATCGTGCGGAAACATAAGGTGAATTTCATCAAAGTTAGATGATAAAAAGTCTTTCCAAAAACCATGGAAACAGAGTATGCATTCATAGCTGTTGTTGGAAGTTCAGTCCGCAAACCACTAGAGACAGATGAGCATAACCTAATCAAGCTATACCAAATTTCTATATACTAAGTCTATAAAGTCAAAAAAAAAAAAAAAAAAAAAACAATGGTCAGACTTGACCAGCTCTCTTAAGTGGAAATATCCTCAACTACCTCCTTTTAATTTCTTGGTTGCATTTGAAATTTATTTTACACAGTTTTTCATCACAAGAGCTTAGCAGAATGTAGGGACTTTCAGACCTTTCAAAAGACACATCTTCCAAAATATCCTGGTGCATGGCAAGATGACAGTAGTACAATTACCAGAATTGCTCACTTCAAATCATGAAGTGAGCGATTACAATAACATAGTGTCGATCCACAAGTGTAGTTAGGTCATGTAATAATTACTTTTTAAGTTCCCATCAATCCAGTTCTGTGAAGATCCAATCAGGCAAATGTATGATTGTCTACCATCACAGCAGTACTCTGTTCCAACCATCACTACTGACAATTCATGAGCCATGCACTCAGTTTGTCCTATTGATGTGAATCATGGGCGCATCTAATCCTTGTGAGGCAACTTCAAAATGTGTTGCAAGATAACCAAAGGTTGGCAGCTACCAATTAACGTCTCTCAAGTCATCTATCAAGCACTTATCCAGCAAGTTGGGGCAGCTGGTGGGCAAATGATCTCAACAATACGGAAAAAATACAATTAAACTATACCTCTTTATTTTCTTTTCTTTTTCTAGACAGGAAACTAGACCTCATATAAACTATCAAATCCTGAATACTATTTCAAACAAAACTAGATATGGCGATACATGCTCAAAACATCACCAAATCCTTTTTATCCTTCTTTTCGCCAAGGATTCAACCAACCTCATCTTTTCTAGCCCATGACTTATGATAAACAAAAGTATGCAAGTGATATAAACAATTACTCGGTGCCCTTAAATTTTAGATAGGCTAACTTGCATCAATTATCGTTGAAGCTTGATGCAACATTAAACTTTCAGGGTGGTTACAGGTTACTGTTGTTATTGGTATGGAAACAACACTAATAGGATGTCCTGATAGTTTCAAAAATAAGAAAGTGAGTTATTTTACCCTTTTAGTTGTGTATAAAAGAAGTTAACCCATAAAACTTCTTATAAATGATGTTAGATCACATCTAATAGTGAATGACAAAACCCAAGTTGCTGCATCAACTGGTAGGTGGCACTGATATGTTTCCAAATCAAATTTTGATGCCGAGTGATATCGAAATCAAGATAGCTTGACTTAGCATTTTTATTTCTGGCACAATCAAAAGCCACTGCGTGTCTTGTATGAAGATTATCCATCATAACACAATGGAAACTCCACAATTGAGTTGAATTGACTCAATTTTGCAGCTTAAGAGGACACGATGTATTCATGGCCTCGTAAGAAATCAGGCCTTGAAAGGAAAATTTTAGGAGGCACAATTTACTACGGTTTATGCAAGATATTCAAACTAAAAAATAAATCACATATTTGAATCACTTGCGTACTGGTTCCATAGATTGAAAAGAAAATAACTCCCATATTTAGATGAAAATAAAAATGGAAGATGCATACCTGCAAAACCAAAAGAGCATAAGTTGATATCCCGCCAGAGTAATCCACAGTTGGTATAAGCTGCTTGAGCTCCAAAGTGGGTGCAAAATCGCCAAAATCATCTATGACCGACGTGGTCTCAGCCTCAACAAACAACACTCCCTCAGCATTGCAATCAATCTCAATGCGACCATCCTCATCTCTTCGTAACCGCCCTGCCATAGGGTAGAACGGCACAAGGGCCTTACTCAAAGCCTCTTTGAGCACTTTCGCATCAAAGAAGTTTGGTGCACCTGTGGGCCTATAAAAATAGACACTTGGCGTGTGGAACCTTGGTACCACCAAGTCCACATTAGAATTCCACAGCCCCCCGTGGGGCGTCTCCTCCGCCGGCTGCACCATGGTTGACTCCTTCACATTGATTATCATCTTTCTCCGTGCTAATGTTTTATCCATCCCACTCCCACTCCAAGTTTGCTGCAATTTCAAAGGCAGATTGTTACAAATTTGATAGTTGGGTGTCCTTTAAATTATGACTTTTACCCTTTCCAGCCCGAAACTGTTTGTGGACCCAAACATTCTTGGTGGGTTGCACAGTTATATGCAGTGGCTGGCATTAATAAATAGCAAAACTGAATTCTTTTTGTTGTAGAATTAATTATATGTGAAGCATCGAAAGAAAAGGCCATTTATCCCTCTTAAATCTTCCAATTTGAAAATGACTCCAGCAACTCCAACTTCTGAACCAACACGGAGAACCAACAGAAAAGGAACAGGATATATCTCTATCACTATCATTTAGAACACAAAATCAATGCACCTTTATCTTTCCCAGTTATATTTCTCTCATCTTCCCAACCCAATCCTCCCCAAACATACATCATTTAAGGACACAAATAAAAGAGTTGAAAACCAAGGCAGCTACTACCATCTTGTCCTGTGAAACTCTTAATAAAAGACACACAGAGTTACATCGGTCATTTAACCCCTGCATTTATTAGTCTAATAATGGGATAAATTACCTTGTTTAATTGCTTAAAAACCGAAGAAGATTAAGAAAAGAGAGAGAGCACAAGTCACAAGAACTAAATCAAGAACCAATACATGAAAAGCTAGCATACCTGTGAGGCTAATAAGCAGAAAAGGAGAGAGAACTCAGAGCAAAAGAAGGTGAACAGATGTCAATGGAGTTGAAACCTTAGAAATGGAGTTGGTGTAAGGATGTTGAAGGGACAACTTATAGTGATTCTGTAAGGTGCTTGTTAATATAAAATTTTTATTAGGTTCTCACCAACCCCCGCCTAATGACGTTGACTATTCATAATGCCACGTTAACCCACAGCACTGCCGCTCATCAATTCACCCGGCATTGCCAGCTTTGTTGGCCATAGAAAACTTTTTGTTTTGTTGGAAAGTTGACCAGTTGGTAAGAATTCATTCTGCAAGCAAATCAGTAGTAATCCAGTTGGTAAGAATTCATTCTGCAAGCAAATCAGTGGTACAAATTACATATCCCCTAGGTTGCTTCTACTGGGGTTGAGATGAGAGTATTCAGTGTATGTAACAAAGACGATAATATATCAATTTTTAACCTTTTTTTTTTTTAATAAAGCATATCAATTTTAACTTTTTTTATTTTTTTATCATTCGAATATATGAATTTTTATTTTTTTTCGCTTAAATGCATCAATTTTTTAAAAATTATTGATCGAATACTTTTTTTAATTTGTTCATTAAACGATCAAGTGTTTGTTATCTCACAAATATTAAATTACAAATTTGTCATCTTTTTATTGGAGAAAACTTTCTTCTTGAATTATTTTATCATTTCAAAATTTGATAAAAAATTAAAAAATATATACTTTTTACTTATAAAATCTCAAACTAATCTCAATTAGTTTTAGACACAGTCCAAGAAAAACACATATGTGAAACTTTTTATTAGAAAAACTCATTACTTGTGAATATTTGGGAGAAAGGTTCTCTCTAATAAAAAGAGAAAAAAATTATAGGTTCATATTCAAGAAGTAACAAGCACATCGCCAATTAATAAAAAACACTTAATTGATAGTTTTGAAAAAATATAATATACTCAAATAAAAAATATAATTATCTCAAAAAATAAGCAAAATTCATATATTCGAATAAAAAATATAAAAAACTATTTCACTTATAGTATAATTATCTCTAAAAACAAAATACAAGTTGAAATCCCATCGGTTATATGATTCCATGGTAACGAGATCGTGTGAGGGAGCCCTATTCGTGAATCCATTTTTCTCCACCAAATAATAATAACAACAATAATGTAAGTGAAAAAAAAAAAAGTCATTTGGTTAATTTGAGGTTTTAAATTCAAATTCAATCATTATTTTTTATATGTATAAAAAAATCATATCTAGATATTGTTAGTATGTTTCGTATAAAAATCCTAATTCTAAGTTTCGATTCTCTTATAAATTCAACAAAATCCCTTCCAGTATATTTATAGTATTTCTTAACAAGCATGTAATTAACTTATTGGCTTTTTATTGGACTCATCGTCTATGCAATTAAAGTCCAAAGTAAGTTGAAAATATCAAACTGTATTTATTTTTTTGATTTATTAAGAGATTTAATGAGTTGTGATCTGCATTAATTATTTCTTTCATCCCATAGCTCCACCCCATGTTACCGAAACCTCAAAGTAAAAAAGACTCACCATTTTCCTTTTCTTAGAGCCAAAGCAAGTGGTGCTCCAGTTTTAGATGAGGCGTTATTTGAGCAGGTAGCAGCCTTGTCATTATGAAGGCACGCAGGTAGACTCGAGGCTACGACATAATGATTTTCTTTTCATTTATTAAAACCTCTCATCAAATCCACTAGTAGCAACTAACAAACTTCAGAATACTTACTTGTCCAATCAGGCAATCACGAGTTAGAATTCCCAAAACTCCATCGGATGGTCAACATGGGCAGAGTCAGAATTATTTTTCAATATCATAGTTATTTATCATCTTTATCAAAATGCAAATAATAAATAAATAAATAAAATTGCGAGGACGTTATCTCATCAATTGAAGTGCATGGTTCTAAAAGTTAAAATTCTGAGTGCTGTCAAGCAAGACCAAAGTTTAAACTAGTAGATTATATATTAGTCCCTCTAATTTTAAAAAATAAATTAATTATTCTTTCTTATTTTAAAAGCTAATTATTTAATCTTTATATTTTTAAATTTACTTCTAACTTAGTTATTTTTGCTTTTTTAATTTTTTTGTGTTTTAAGAAAATATATATATATATATATACTCTATACGTCAAATCCACTAGCTAAGACTCCAATCATGAAGAATTCCCAAAACTCTGCCAGTGTTGTAAATCGGTATACGCAGAATCGTGTTGGTTACAAAAACAACATGGGTATAGTTTATTTGTCTGTAAGAAAAAAAAACACAAAAATGGCATATTCCCGAGCACGCAATGTGGATTAATTTATTAAAATCTTTCTGTGAGTATTTTTTTAAGGATTTGTTTAGTTCTTCTATATATATATATATATATATATGGCATATTCCCGAGCACGCAATGGGGATTAATTTATTAAAATCTTTTCTGTGAGTATATTTTAAGGATTTGTTTAGTTCTTCTATATATACATATATATATATATATATATATACGCATGCTATGCATAAGGAATGGCTAGGTTATTTTAATGTTTTTTCTCTTATATAGACCCCTAATCCTTTTTTTTCTATATATATATATATATAAATAGATATCAAAACGACTCAAATTAAGTTGAGCCGATTTATTTGGCTGACTTAATTATGTATGAAAGGAACCATTCTATTTACCGAAAAATGGAGACACTAAATGCACTAAAATGATGTGTCATAGCCTCATAAGGCCCACGTTGAGAAGGTGACATTAAGCTTGCCCCAGAAGTCCGCACGGGCACCATGATCTACTTAAATAATCAAGCTTTTAATTACAAAGTGATTAAAAAAAAAACCCAACCATATAATTTTTTTTTTGCTTTTAATTATGCGGCATAGGGCGTTCCTCATATATAAATCCATGTGGTTGGCAACTACTTAAATGTGCCAGTTTTTAATTTCAAAGTACAGGTTTAGAAAAAAAGAAAAACAAGTGTGAACAAAAGCCAAAACTATCATTATTTGATTGATTTTGAAAAAAGAAAAGCAAATCAAGCAAACTATTTCAAAGGGGAAGCATTTTTGTGTTTGATTTGCAAGAGACATCAACTACTTAAATAATTAAGAGGCAGCAGCAACTTTAATTCTTGCATCACTTGATTAACGGGCCACCAAATTAGAAGTCTGACAGGCGTTTAAATGATTCAGCATGAATAATTATGATGGAATTAGGCTGTTGATCGTTATTTTGTTTGGTGAAACATTGAAACAATCCAAATGATAAACCTCATTGAATTAACATTTTCTCCAATTCTCAAGAACATGTACATTATGTATTTTATTATGTTTCTTTAGATTAATCTGTTCGTGCCACTTAATCTAACCTTGGAATGCATGTGTTATTTATTTCTTAATAAACTCTATACTTCACCTCCTTGGTCCTAATTTATTGTTTTTTTATTACCACTTGATTTCTAATGACCGATCTTCATAGCTGCTCCTGTTAGGTTGATTACCAATAATTGTAGCCACATATGATCTAGAAGAAGCAATGAGGATAAAACCACAAATTACTGATATGGTCAAGTTAATTGGATTACTTAAACGACTCATCCAGTTCAAAATTCAGATCCTATCCTTCACCCTATTAACAAAAAAAAAAATAATAATAATAATAATAAAGAAAAAAGATAAGGATAAATATCCATGGTTTATGCTATGTAACAATGATTTTTTCACACCTAATCAATGTATTGGATTGAAATAACCATTGAAGTCCACCAATGAATTTCTATCGAGAGTATGGAAGCTGCCAGGAGCCTAGCCAGGAAGAATCAATTTCATGCTCTAAAGCTGTCTAATTTTATCCATTATCAGAAATTACTCCCATGGCTAGATTAATTAAAGGTTTGCTCTGCTCAAGATACAGTATTTTAGTCTTCAATCAAGATAAATATATAATAGATGTTTGGTGCTACAATTGATCGAGCATTTAAAGGTTACGTAAATTATAAATTAGTTTTCTTTATTACAAATTTCAGAAGACTTACTTGTCCAATCACGAGTTAGAATTCCCAAGACTCTGTGAGAATAGTCAATCAATACATGCAGAGTCAGAGTTTTTTTTCAATATCATAGTTATTTATCATCTCATCAATTGAAGTGCGTGGTTCTAAAAGTTAAAATTTTGAGTGCCGTCGAGAAAGTCCAAAGGTTTAACGAGTAAATTATATATTAATCCTTCTAATTTCTAAAAAAAAATTATTTTAAAAACTAATTATTTAGTTTTTTATATTTTTAAATTTAATTATAATTTAGTTCTTTTTATTTTTTAAATTTATTTTGATTTAACAAAAAAATAAAAAAATATGAAAAATCAATGAGGGAAAAAAAGCATTTTGTAGAATAAAAATAATATGAAATTAAGCATGATCTATATTT